TATCGTGGTTCGGCGGCAGGACGGATTTTCCTACTAACGGTCGCCTATAGTGTCGGATAAAGCTGAAACAAGCGGACACATAGGTTGTTGATCCTTGCGAATCTAGTGGCAATGTGGTTAGTTACCAATCAGTTTCCATAACAAAGCATTTTTTTTCGTTCAGAGTCTATATGAGCACATCCTATTGTTTTTGTCTCGTTCTGTCCAAACCTGTGCAGAGAAACCGTTAAATTGAACTGACGTTTGTACCGACTGACTTATTCTCAACGCTAAATGATGCTATTTCAAGTGAAACACATGTGTTTGAATTTATTTTGGTGATAATTTGCCTTTAGAAATAGAATAAAGTATTTTGGTGTAATATTTCGGTTAAGAGAACATATCAACGAAAAATTACTTTCATTTTATGGAACTAAAGTTATTGCATCATAGAAAAAACATTGTCACGAGATTCGCGAGGGTCAACAACCTATGTGACCGCTTGTTTCAGCTTTATCCGACACTACAGGCGACCGTTAGTAGGAAAATCCGTCCTGCCGCCGAACCACGATAAATGAAAAAATCACTTAGATCTTATTTTAAAGTGGACACTTTTATCTACCTACCCGTGTAAAAAGATCAATACTTTGCTATCCCAGATTTTCGACTTAGGCAACGGTTCTTCAGCGATCTTTTTGAAAACTGATCGCTGAAATTATTTTTCAAAATATTTTTTGCTTACAAAAAGATGGTTTTCTTCTCGACTACATGCTAGTGAAAATTGCAACTTTCTAACTCTTTTCGTTCTAAAGTCATTCCAAAAACAGTCATGGGTCATTCTTTTTCTAAACGGATAATAGTTTAATGTCAGTAACAGAGCAGTCAATGGAACAGAAAAAGCCGAAATAAATACTAAAAAAAAGTAGAATTGACCGTACACTTATGTAAAAACACAAAACAAACGCTTGCTCATTCACAACGAGTGTCCGGGTAAAAATGGATGTTTATGACTCCCTCGCTTCTGTCCAATTTTAGGTGATCGCTTCCACTCTTTGTTTGGATGTCTTTTAAAAATGAGCACAGCTACTAAATTTGTTCAAAATAACACATCTTCATGGATTTAAATATGTTCTAAGTATGATGCGTCCAAAAGCGCTCAGAAACGTGTTTGAACACACTTGTTTTTTAAGAAATTCTCAAGAAATGTGAAAAATATATGTCCTGTATCAAAATTGAACTAACAATATTAAGAATTCTTCTACTTTAGGTGGAATGTATTGAATTATCACAACTCGATGCGAATTTAAACACCTCAAACAACTTTTTTTTCAGAACGATACGACCGTATCTGTTTATTTTTCTACTATTCACGTAAATGAAATGCTAGTTGCCGTTTTTCCTTTAAAGAGCTTTTCGTCTAACTAGATTTCCGTCTCTAAACACGTTCGAATATGCTCAAATTCAAACACCGAAACGCACACGTTCCAATACTTTTCGATGTTTGATCACGTTTAGACGCTGTCATCAGGCATATCTGAATGTGTCTATTTTTAAAAGTAAGAAAAAAACGCATCCGGAGGCGTTTTATCAAAAACATATTTTTTCCATGAGCACACTCTTAAAAATACTTTGACTGTCTGCTCCGCTTTATCAGATTCTTTAGATATAGTTTGGTCGCCAAAATCACCACCAGTGTTTCGTCATCAGTCGAAAACTGTTGATGAGTTATTTCCGTTAGATGATGTCTATCAAAGAGATCATTTTAGATCTACTACCATCTGCTGCAAGCAAGCGTGAGACTTCTGTTGTTAAAGTAGTTGGCATAATCGCTTTAGTTGGATTGTCAGTTTCATTTAACAAGAGACAGTCTACATGTGTAGCCATAATCAAATTGCTACTTTCTGTTGGGCATCTGTTGTTTCTTATGCTCTCTGCAAAGTATTTTAGCTACTCTTTCTGATCTAACGTCGTCCTGAGTAGTTGACGTGGCAATATGTTTAGTACTTTTCCTTGTTGTGATTGTTTTTTCGTCTTCATCCTCCTCATCTATTCTTCTTTAAAAAAATGCGTTTTATCTAACAATTAACTTTCTCAAATAGTCTTTTATATTCTTCATAAATCGTTTAGCAAAATTTGATTTTGTTCGTATTAGCGATAATCATCAATTTAAAATCGGAAGGTACAGTTGTATGCTATAAATGCTGAACCGAGATATTCTACATCTATATTTGCAAATTTGATTTTCGCTGACCGATTAATTTTAATTATGGAACAAATAAATTCTTAATTATATACGAAAAACATCATGCATTATACAAAAAATGTTGGAGTCCTAAGTTTAGCTTCATTTCATATAGGTATTGCTTATCATATGGATTTGTGACGACAAAATCTTTCCAATTAATATGTTGATATTTCAATAGATTTGATTGACTATGCCAACAAAAATGATGTATTATCATTCTTTGATTGGAATACGATACGACAATTCGATTCTTCGGTTAGCAGTAAACTACAAATTGTAACTTTTTTCTGTTGTAATAACAATGATTAAAATAATATTCAATTCATGTAAGCTCTCTTTTCGGCTAAATCTACGTAATTTTCCTACACATATATGGTATATTCTCTCGAACAGTATGTATGGGGGTTTTTCCCCTCATCTCTATGATGACATTATTATTATTTTATTTCCAACTTATATCACATGTATCTGTACAACGATAATCTCTACCATTTATGTTAAATGTACTATGTAACATAACCTTCAACTTTAGCCTTTAGTCGTAGTATCATTTAGTTATTTTTCCAAATATCACTTCTTTTCCAGAACGTATCAAACGGCATTGCAGTAAACAGTTGTTAAAAGAAGAATAACTGTACAGTTTTTCTCTGACTATTTTTATATGTAAATGGTTGTGACTGATTTTGCTACTATAATTTATACAGTATGCAAGCTCATCACTGTTATCTAGAGAATGTTTTTGCGTAGAAAGCATTGTACAGATTTTCAGAAAATGGATTAGTAAATCAATTAAGTATCATATTAGTAAAAACAAATGATAATACTGGGATTTTTCTCATCGTTATGATAGATGTTAGAGAAAGTAACGAAGAAGAAAGGTCCTATATCTATATATAACAATGCAACAACAATTTTTCTTAATTGCACCATATCATAAGAACATTGAGGAACTATAATATCAGTTGTTGAATGGCAAGCGCATGATGACAGATACAATAACGTATGATAAAACATATTGCGTTATTAGGATCTAGGTATTATGAGTCATTATCTAGTTAGTTTGAATATTTCATAAAACGGTATCAAAGAACTTTAAGGGTGACTAAAATCAATTTTATTGATCAAAATAAATAATAATGAAATAAAGTAAACGTTTGACGCACACTGTAACAAACTACGGGTGAAGCATTTAAATGCCATAAAAACATTATCAGCAGAGTCTCTATTTCAGGCTATCGATTCACACAACATCATCATCATAACCATCTCGGGTGTCCCATTGTATGCCATCTTTTTCATTTTTTGCTGTTGTTAAGTCATTTTTCTCTAATACTGCTTCAGTCTGTTCCACATTTGGATTCACTTGATACACGTCATTGAATGTATATGTCACGTAACCATCCGTTTGGTTATAAAAACTACTCTCTGTAGCATTTCCTTCAGTAAAAAAATTTTCAGTATTATTATCGTGAACAAAAAAGATATAATCTGGAAAACTACTATTATCGTTCATGGTTTCGTTATCTAGTCCTGATAAAGAATAGTTTAAAGAAAGACTAAAATTTGAACAGTCATCGCCAAAGCAATGTGTGTTGGTTATTGTATGATTAAATGTATCCTCTTCTTCACTAGAAGAAGAGACATCGCGACTATCACGAATGAGTACCTCATCGGGCGAATTACTTTTCAATACATCGATTATACTATTAATTTTGAACGAATTGTCATGATCTATAGATAATGTTGATACTGCACATGTTGTTTGACAACCTTCAGAAATTGTTGGCTGGAAGAATTGTTTACAATTATCATCGCTTACACATGTAATGGTAACACGAATTTCAAAATTATTTCTAATTGGCTCATCATATTTTACTGTACAATCACTTGGACGATAATGACAACAACAATTTTTAATTTTGCTTATTAAATCATTGTCATTATAACTAATTTTTCCGGATAATATAAAGTTATATTGATAATTATATCGATTTATTTCATTATTTTCCATACATTTTGTTGTAATATTTTCTTGTAAATAATAACATTGTGCTGAATTAGTAGAGAGACTATGACATCTCGTTGTTAAATTTTGTTTGGAAATCGGTGAGCAATTTGTGAATGTAAAAAGTATAACTAATAAGATAGAATAATTCAAAAAGCTATGCATTGCAGTAATATTATTCTCGTATCCGTAACGTTCGATAATAGAACATGGATTATGATGAGTTAAGCACAGATGATTTATACATGTTATTTTCTTGTTTTTCTTCCCATATTAGTAATGTATTTTGTTTCTGACGTAAAAAAACTTCTGTTACTTATCTGTGGATTAATTTTAGAACGCTTTTTTTTCTACATCAGAACTATCATTCTATAATGAGACTATCTCTAAAAAGAAAAACGTTTCTCTCTAACAATAAGGTACTACGCATTAGTTGATTCATGTGAAAGACTACAAAGAGAAAGTCTAAATTGAAATATTCAAATACACTATTATTGGGCTGTCAACGTCTCTGGAAGGCTTGCAAGAATTCTTTTTATGCTTTGGAGTACTCATGCATATCTTTTATTCATATTAGATATTTAAATATTAGATAACTAGAATAGAAAAAAAATCCTGTGTTCGAATCTCAGTACTGGCCGGTTGTGTGATAATCTTGGAAAGTTACTGATGTTCATGTAACTCGAATTACTTGTGCGATAGCATACTCACTGCGTCTAGATGTATAGTATATAGGCATGCATCGGTTAAAAACTGGTTTCTCTATCCTCTTTTCGCAAAAACTAAATAGTACGAAGCAAATGGCATATTAAATTTTTCACAAAACTCAGTTCTCTACAAAATGACAACCATAAGTCACACTGATCTGTAAATATCAGTTCCGGTATACGTCCGGAATTTTTTTCTTTTGATAAAAGCTGTTAGTGAGTATTGAACAATCGTAGTTACAAATTGTTTTGATGTGTCAAAGTTAGATTATTTTATATGAGATACAAGTACATTGTTGATAAAATGGTAAAAATTCATTATTGATGAGATCAGTAAAGCAAAAACCGGTTTCAGGACTGAAAAACCTTTACAAATATAGACTTAAGAGCCAATATCCGGTAGACTCAGACAGACAGTGATTGTTGATGTCACAGATTTAACAACGAGATGTCATAGTCTCTCTACTAATTCAGCACAATGTTATTATTTACAAGAAAATATTACAACAAAATGTATG